TGCTTTCTAAGGCCCATTTAACTTCACATTCCAGGATGTCTGGCTCAAGGTCAGTGATTATACCGTCGTGTTTGTCAAGGACATTGAGGTCTTTCTTGTATAGTTCTTCTGTGTATTCTTGCCATCTTTTCCTAATCTCTTCTGCTTCTGTTAGGTCCCTACCGTTTTTGTCCTTTATCATGGCCAGCTTTGCATGGAACGCTCCCTTGATTTCTCCAATTTTCTTGAAGAGATCTCTAGTCCTTCCCATTCTATTGTTTTCTTCTATTACTTTGCACTGTTCATTCAGGAAGGCCTCCTTATCTCTCCTTGCTGTTCTCTGGAAATCTGCGTTCAGTTGGGTAAATCTTTCCTTTTCGCCTTTGCCTTTCGCTTTCCTTCTTTCCTCTGCTATTTGTAAAGCCTCATCAGAAAGCCACTTTGCTTTCTTACATTTCTTTTTCTTTGGGATGGTGGTGATTGCTGCCTCCTGTACGATGTCACGAACCTCTGTCCATAGTTCTTCAGGCACTCTATCTATCAAATCCAGACCCTTGAATCTATTCTTCACCTCTACTGTATATTCATCAGGGATGCGATCTAGGTCAAACCTGAATGGCCTCGTGGTTTTCCCAATTTTCTTCAGTTTAAGTCTGAATTTTGCAATGAGTAGCTCATGATCTGAACCACAGTCAGCTCCAGGTCTTGTTTTTACTGACTGGATAGAGCTTCTCCATCTTTGACTGCAAATTATATAGTCAATCTGATTTCGGTGTTGCCCATCTGGTGATGTCCATGTGTAGAGTCGCCTCTTAGGTTGTTGGAAAAGGGTGTTCGCTATGACCAGTGTGTTCTCTTGACAAAACTCTGTTAACCTTTGCCCTGCTTCATTTTGCTTTCCAAGGCCAAACTTGTCTGTTATTCCAGTTACCTTTTGACTTCCTACTTTAGCATTCCAGTCCCCTATGATGATGAGGACATCATTTTTTGGTGTTAGTTCTAGGAGGTGTTGTAGGTCTTCATAGAACCGGTCCACTTCAGCCTCTTCTGCATCAGTGGTTGGGGCATAGACTTGGATTACTGTGATGTTGAATGGTTTGCCTTGGAATCGGACAGAAATCATTCTGTCATTTTTGAGATTGTATCCCAGTACTGCCTTTTGCACTCTCTTGTTGACTATAAAGGCCACACCATTTTTTCTACGAGATTCCTGGCCACAGTAGTAGATATAATGGTCTTCTGAGTTAAATTCGCCCATTCCTGTCCACTTTAGTTCACTGATTCCTAGGATATCGATGTTCAGTCTTGCCATCTCATTTTTGACCACGTCAAGCTTACCTTGATTCATAGATCTTACATTCCAGGTTCCTATGCAGTATTGTTCTTTGCAGCATCGGACTTTCCTTTCACCATCAGACACATCCACAACTGAGCGTCCTTTCGGCTTTGGCCCAGCCGCTTCACTCTTTCTGGGGTTACTTGTACTTGTCCTCTGCTCTTCCTCAGTAGCATATTGGACACCTTCCGACCTGAGGGGCTCATCTTCCGGCGTCATATCTTTTAGCCTTTTGATACTGTCCATGGGGTTTTCTTGGCAAACATACTGGAGTGGGTTGCCATTTCCTTCTCCAGGTGGATCACGCTTGGTCTGAGTTCTCTGCTGTGGCCTGTCTGTCTTGGGTGGCCCTTCACGGCATAGCCCACAGCTTCATTGAACTGCGCAAGCCCCCTCGCCACGACAAGGCAGTGATCCATGAGGATCACTGTATATTCCTTGATTTTGGTTGGTTTATTTGTAGGCCAGATACCTCACTGTATTCTTTCAGTACATTTTGTAGTGAGGGTAGTGATTTGTTTGGGTTGGTTAAAAACAGTAACATGTCATCCGCGAATAATGTAAGTTTATAGTTTTTCTTCCCTATTTCGATTCCATCAATATCATCTTTGTTTCTGATCATGTTGGCTAGTGGTTCTATTGCCATTGCGAATAGTAGGGGTGAGAGAGGGCACCCCTGTCTTGTGCCTTTTCCAAGAATAAATGGTGCTGAGAGTCATTTATTTTTAGGCACAATTTTGGTTCTTTGTAAATGGCATTGATGACGTTTAAGAATTTTTGACCAAAGCCCATCCTTAGTAAAAGTTCTTTTAGGTATGATATTTCTAGACTATCAAAAGCTTCCTCTGTGTCCAGGGGAAGCAGGATAATTTCTGTTGCTTTGTTTAGCGATGTCTGTTATGTTGAGGGCCTTGTGAGTGTTGTCTATTAGATCTCTATTAGGCATGAATCCTACTTGATCTTGTGAGATATAATCTGTTATAAATTTGTTCAGTCTCTTGGCTATACTTGAATATTAAAAGATTATTGAGGGGAGCAACTCTGCTGAATCCTCCACAGACCCATAGGTGTCCAACTTGGAACCTTAATGTAGTGCTCAATGCTCTTTGTAAGATACTGTTTGAGCCAATGGCAACCTGCCCCATGAAAGAACTGACCTTCAAGACAGTGTTTCTAGTCAGTATTACCTATGCACGGAGGGTCTCAAAGTTGAGAGCTCTGTCAATAGACAAGGAGCTATGCATATTCCATAATGATAGAGTGGTTCTTCACCCTGATCCAGCCTTTATCCCGAAGGTGAACCTGGTCTTTCATTGGTTGGAGGCCATTGTTCTTCCTTCTGCCCTAACCCTCGGTGTGAGAAGGGAATGGAGTTGCCTAGATGTGCGTAGGGCTCTTAGCTTCTATTTGGATAGAACAAGGCAAATAAGAAATACTGACTCTCTTTTTCTTTCCTTTCAGAAGTTGTCCCTAGAGAAGGGGTGTATAGTGATGGTTTACAAGGCTAGGGGTCTGGAACCGCCACAGGGGATAACAGCCCACTCCCTTAGGGGGGGCGGCCGCATTAGCGGCCTACAGAGCCTTCCCATCTCTGGAGACGATTTGTAGGGCTGCCATCTGGAAATCCATACATTCTTTCACAAGACACTACCAGATAGACAAGATGGCTTCGGCTGAGGCAGGGTTTGGTAGAAGGCTCCAGCAACACACCTTGTAGACGGGGAAGCTGTTGGACCCACTCTGGAGGGTACTGCTGTTTTATGTCCCAGGAGTAAGGAGTCTTGAGGACTGCCCCACTCCTGGACCACCGGAGAATGGAAGATTTGTCTTCACTCACCGTGAAGCTTTCTTCTCAGTGGTCCACAGAGTGGGGCAGTCCTGGCCACCCGGTTAAGGGTGCAGCTTCCACTGTCAGCAAGGTGTTGATACTGGTGGCTAGGCAGAGATGGGACATTAGTTCTAACCTGGGTGAGGTTGGAATACATGGGTTGGTCTGGTTGGGGACTGTTTTTTGAGCCCATTCTGAAGTTTGTTAGATGGTTAGCTCCCCAGTGTGTGTGTGGGGGGGGGATTGTTATTTTTCTCTATACAGTTGAGGGGAATGGGGGCTTGGAGAACGACTGGGAAGCCAGGGGACAAGCCCCTCCCCTCCGGGACGAAAGAGTCTGCCAGCTCAGCCTTCAGAGAAGGGGAGCGGTTTCCCAGGACTCTAGAGGACTGCCCCACTCCTGGACCACCAGAGAAGGAAACTTTACAGTAAGTGAAGACAAATCTTCCATTCCCCTTCAAGAAGTGAGCTGTGACTCAAGAAAGCTCCTCTCCTGCCACAAAGTTTGTTAGCCTGTAAGGAGCTACTGGACTCCTTTTCTACTGAGTCTGCCTCAGCAGGATTTGTTTCACTATGTGCCTAATAATCTATATATCTAATAGCCAAGTTGCCCCCTCTCTGTGGATATCTAAATCTGCACATTGGGGGGCACTTGGGGGGCAGAGAGATTTTCCTGCACACTTGGAGCAGTCCCTAGGAGTGCAGAAAAATCTAAAAAGTTGAAAAAAATATATGGGGGATACTTAAATTTCCCCAAAAAGTAAAAGAGCATTCCCTGCGCATGCGCAGAGAGTGCTGTGGCCGTTGTGGGGGGAGAGGCTTGGCAGGCCGGTGGCTGGGAGCCACTCAGGCCTCGCCTCCGGAGCTGGGGGGAAGCTTATCTGTGGCCACTTTCTCCTCAGCCCTGAGGTCCTCCTGCTTCCAGGAGCTGGGGGGAATATCCCCCCCCCCCCGCGCGCATCATCGTGTAACATCTGCTACTCTAGTAGAGGAACAATTTTGCATTTGAGTGCCCTAAGGATTCTCAAGTGTGTGCCATCAGGACCTGGATACTTAATGGTTTTGAATTGCTGACACAGGTCTAGGGCCTCATCTCATCACCTCCGAGTCAGTCCTTCAGACTTCCTTCCTGCAGGCAGTGGCTCTGGCCCGGGTCCACGCTCCATGCAAATTAAGTTCGCGTCTCTGCCCCCCAAATTCCTTCAGCAATCCTTTTCTTTGTAATTTAACAGCCCAGCTATGTCACTGGCTAGTTTACTGCTCAAGATACATTGTCTGTCTTGATGCTTTTAGCAACCCACTCCTCACATTCTCTGCTACCTTCTATTTACCTCATTGGGGTAGACGTGGCACTTTCTAAAATAATCCTTTTTACCTTGTATGGCTTCTTCAACTTGGGTCATTAACCCCGCAGACATGCTTTTAGATATGGCAGTGCCCTTTTTAAACCTGGGAAATGCATTCCATCTGGGCTTGAAATAGTGATTTTATCACACTAGGGATCCTCTAGGGATTTGACTTGAGTTTCTCTTATGGCTTCCTTCTAACCGTTTCCCTCATTTCTGTAAAGTTCCCTCTTTCGAAATCGAATGTTCTGTTTTTGAACTTTAGGAAGAATTTTCCATTGACGTGGCCACTGAATATCTCTCACCAGGTCTTAAGCCCTGCTCAGAACCAAGCGCAAGATCACGACGCTACCCCTCTGGCTGGCTCCGTGGCCAACGGCTCCAGGGCACAATTATCTGCCCAATGCCCAAGAGCCCCATTCCTACAGCAGGATTCTGCAGGCCGCATAAAATGCACAACACACACATACACACGTTTTACAAAAGAATACTTTCATTATACAAAGAGGGACACGACAACATTTTTAGTACAGAAACCCATGAGATAGAGCACAGATGTTTTTGCTACTAGGCTAAGGCAGCACTGAGGCAAGACTACCCTGAAGAAGAAAGAAAAACCTGAGTGGACAAGATACTCCGACACACACACCCCCCCGTGCTCTCAGTCTTCCTCAGAAGCCCAAGTCCACAGGAGAAGGAGCTATTTCCTCCTCCTGAAAGGCCAAGGGTTCTGCCAGGGCACTGGCTGGCCACCCAGCCTCTCCGGGACTCACAAAGAAAGAAGAAACATGAACAGAGGAAGCAAAAGGCTGTGAAAAGGGAGGGGGGGGGCAATGGCCTGCCGATGACCCGTCCCGTACGAGCCCCTCAGTATCTCTTCCCCCTCCCTCTCCCCCAGCGTGCGCCCTGCTGCTGCTGCTTCTTCTCTCTCCGGGCTTCTGCTGTGGTGAAGGTGATACAGTGAGCGTCCAGGAACTCTAGCAGCCTGCCCAGGGCAACCCTTATGCCGCTCTGCTTCAGTTCAGACTGCAGTCGAGCAAGCTCAAAGGGCTGGTAGAACAGAATCTGTCGGCGGAGTGCCGGCCTGGAACAGATGTACTGCCGCAACGCCACCATCGCAGCTGCCTCGCGGCAGGTTGCCTGGGAGGCTGGGATGTCTTCCTCCTCCTCCTCCTCCTCAGCCAGCACGCTGGTCTCAAACTCAGTGGAAGAACTGCAAGAGAGGAGGGGAGCAGGGAACCTCGATCAGAGTCAAAAAGAAGAACCTTCAGCCAACGCACCTCTCAAAAGGGAGACTCCTGCTTACACGAAAGCCGAGACTGTCATAGACTTGGGCTTTGCTAGTTAAGTTTTTAAGAGGAGCTGGGCTCATCCCCAGGATGCCAAACTGTTTAACGTAAAGGCAGACTGGACCGGACTAACCATGAGGACAACACAGGTACGTGGGGCCTGCTAGCCACACACACACACCCCGGCCCCCAGACTGTACTTCGGCAGCTGTAACTTGGGTGCCCCATTTGGCCCATCTTCCATACATCTGCCCAGTCCTGTGACTTTCCCCACAGCTCCATAGGAGTAAATCCTGTTAGGTCTCCTCCTCCTCCTGCTGCCCAAGACCTCCCTCCAAGGCACAACCCCACAAAAACACTGGCCAGGTCTCCAGTGGTGAGAACATTTCAGGCAGAGGAATCTGCCGCACACGGTGTCTCAGATTCTGTTTTCACTTTTGGCCTCAAAGCCATTCCCACTACCTTTGAGGGTCCTTTATGCCCCTGCTTCTGTCCAGGTAGAAAAAATTTCTGTAGCATGTAACATTCACTGAAACCAAATTTGCTACATATTTTGACTTGTGTGTTTTCAAACCCAATAGCAGGGAGAATGTCGGAGCATATCTTATCCATATTTACGCTAAAGCCCCACTGGATTTAACGAGGTTCATTTGCAACTAGATGAACAGGAACACAGCCTTGAACGAATGAAGCTGCCTTCTGCCGCGTGTCCACTCTGAGCAGGAGGGGGCCGAAGTGTCTCATTCACACATACTGTTCCCTGTCCTGCTACCTTTCACCTGAGGATGTCAGCAGCTGAAAACGGGAACCTTCCAAATGGCACGCGTGAGCTAAACTATCTCTCCCCCCCCCCCCCCCCCCCTGGTGGTTATCTGAAAAAGCGGCCTGGCCATCGGCACCACAACTGGGCTAGTCTGGGCCACAGAACTCCCTTTTTTTCTGGACACACTTCTCAGTTCTCTTCTGTTTAAAAAAGATTATGTTGTTAGCGACCCGAGCCCAATTCTAGGGGAGGTGTGGGACAAAAATCTAATAAAAGAAATTGAAATAAGTAAAATTGTAGGCAAGAAATTAAACTTAACAATGTAACAGCAAATGCAGAGTGTTTTTGTTTATACTCCCTATATAGCACAGCTACACAGTATAGCATATATATTTTGGAATATAAACACAACCCCAAATATAAAGAAGTTCTGGATTGGTCCAGATTTCTTCATATTCTGTGAACTATTTTCCTTTCACTAGTTACAAGTACATATAAGGTATCTGGGCTTGTATAAAATTTATGTATACTGGCAGAAAAAAAAAGTGAAAGGGCAGACCAAAGTTATGAAATTAGTCACAGCTAGTAAAAACCACTTTCATTAATAAACACTTGGAATAAAACTGAAGATGGCAAGGAATGAAATTACTAAGTTTAATTATTTCAAGTTTTAAAAGCCATTTTCCTTTTGTTAATACAGTTACTATGTGATTACTTAAGGAATCACCTTATTGTTACAGTTAACACTGTGGAAAGACTGAGCTTTGCAGCTGACTAGTGGAAAAGTAAAACGGGCTACCAAGCCTGGCCCCAGTCCAGCCCCTTACCTCTGCAGAACAACAGACATGTCACTGGCGGCCCCTGAGAGTCCGCCTGCCTTCTGAAATGCCGCCAGGGCCTGGCCACTTCGAGCGGGACCCTCTGCTGCTCTCTTCCGCCTTCCTGCCCCAGCCGGCAAACAGCCCCGCTTGGCCATCTGCCCTTGATCACCTCCTCCAGAGGAGCCCCCAAAGCACTCCCCAGCCAGGAGCACCCGCGGAAGCGCAGGACAGGCGGGGAGCTGCTGGGGAAAGCCCCTGCGGGCAGCGGCTGATGTCAGACTTCTTAGGGCTGCCTGGGTCCCATGGCACAAGCCCGGCTGTGAGGATGCGGCTGCATCTCTGGAGTCAGATCTTTGGTGAGTGTACTGAAATATCTCCTTCAGCTTCAGTACCATCTGCTGCTTGGGCAGAGTGCGGACCCCAAACCTAGGACACGGAGACAAGGCTCAGAGCGGCAAAAGCTGGCACTCATGACACTGACTGAGTGGCATTCCTTTGGTTTGCGCCCCCTCCTCCCCCATGAAGGAACCCGTTTCTGTCCCGACAGGACCAACCTGCTCAGTTCTTTCTTGAGCACCGGGGTCTCCATGATGGAGTAAGATGGCATAGGAGTGGGTGGGGTCGTGCAAAGGGCTTCCCTCTCTTGGCAGAAAAGATCTGGAGGAGAAGGAGGGGGGGGGGTCCTACTGTGAGAGCGCGCAGAGGCAGTGACCACCACAGACATTTCTTACTCGCCCAAAAAACTCGCCCGGTGTCGGGGGGGGGGGGGGGAGAGGCAGCTGAAGGAGAAAATGTCTGAACAGCAGGTCGTTTCAGCAGTGTCGAGGACATGCTTCTCCAAGCTGTGACAAAAGAACCATACATCAGTGTTCCCTCTCAGCTCCATAGTGCTGTGAGCAGAAATTCTATCCTGTGAGCAAAAAAAGCTAGTAGCATTAAAGTTGTGAGTGAGTCTACATTTGACTATCGCAAACATTAGTTTTTAGAAGATTATTTACATAACCTTGTAAAAATCTCAAAATGAATTCTATTAAACTATATTTGTTCGTTTTTTTTGGGGGGGGGGGTTAGTGAAATATGACAAATTTACAGATCAAGCATAACTGAGGTGGAACAAACACTGTCAGAACCCTGCCTAATTTAACAAATAGGAAGTTGCTTAAATGTTGTCAATTTGCCCAAGCTACTTATTCAAATACTTATATCCCATTTTTACCATTACTAAAGGCAGCTTACAAATCATACTTAAAAACATAACGGGTGTGCAAAAAAACCAAACTATTTTCCCTGCTCTATTATAGCCTATGGGGACAATGGGACCCATGGGCCATAATGGAGAATCGATTCTGAGGGTCTGGGGGGGGGGCTGTTTTTTGAGATAGAGGCAACAAATTTGCAGCATAGCTTCTGGTGCCTCTCCTCAAAAAAACCTCCCAAGTTTCAAAAATATCGGACCAGGGGGTCCAATTCTATGGGCCCCAGAAGGAGGTGCCCCCCTCCTCTACAATGACTGAGCAGGAGCTACAATTCAGTGCACCAGCACCCCCTAGCATAGCTTAGAGGGAACACTGCTATAATGGCAGGTGAGACCATTTTTTGTTGGGCAGCATTATGTACAGCAACTGGCAGACATGCCCTCCCCCAGGGGGGGGGGGGGGCCCTATTCGGCAAGCTCGCTTGCTTAGTCCTGCCGGCCGGCCTGGAGCACGTGACGCTCCAGGATGCCTGCAAACTGCCAGCAAGAGAGAGACAATTCATGTTGGGTCCCATGTTCCTTCCTAGTTGTCCCATCTCAAAAAGAATAGTGCAGAACTGGAAAAAAGAAAGGCAAACACACATAATCAAGGGATCAGTGAAGACAGGCTACAGTGTCGTAGGCCCTTTAGTTTAAGGGGAAAAGATGATCAAGGAGACAGATGACTGATGCACAGTGCAGAAAATGATAACCTTTTTTGCCTCTCCTCTAAGTCACTAATGAAACTGATGGGCAACGGCTGTGGCTCAGAACACGGGGAGTGTGTCGCACAGCCCATGCCATGATTGGAGCGCCTGGCCAGAAGCCCCGGGGGG